AGCTGCATGATGGTGAGTATGTCCGAGCATATAATCCCCATGTAGTCCATGGTGGTGGTGGTGATGATGATGATGATGATGATGATGATGATGATGATGATGTTGATGATGTTGGTGATGATGATGATGAAGAGCCCGGAGACGAGCCAAGGCGCAACCACATAGTTCAACTCCACCAGTCACCCTACAACGTATATGGGACGACATGAATGGCATGTACGACTATATGGGGCAGATGTCCACCTAGATGGCTGGCAAGTACGAATACGGGGGGCAGATGACCACCCAGATGAGCACACTGCAGTTGACTGTAACAGAGATGCGAGATGAGTTTCGCTCTTTCAGTGGAAGATACATGCATCCCACCACATCCGACTACCATAATGCGAGCACCACTAATGAGGAAAATGCGGATGAGTGAAAGGGGAAGAGGTGTAGGAACTCCATGATTTTGGATTGTTTTCTTTTGTTGTTTTGTCTTAAAGACCATTTGGTTTAAAAAAACTATGATCGTGGATTGATGTTATCTGGTTTTTAATTTTAGGTATGTGTGAACAATTATGAGTTGTGTTTTATTGTATTTCTTGTTAGTATGTCAAGTTGTTATGTTATGAAGTTATGGTTTCTTGATATCATGATTGAGTACTGATTCTGTTGGTTTCAAACATAATTTGTACGAGCAAACTAACACACACATCGACATACATAAGAAAAAAAGTCGAAGGTCATATACTGAGTTTCCTATACGAGGTCGACCTTTTACTATATGCAGTCGACCGCGAAACCAACAATTTTGAATAGATAGTACTTTAGTCTTGCATCTGGTCGACATGGTCGACCATTTCAGTACATTATGGTCCACCATTTTGCTTCTGACTAAATTGCAAGGTCGACCGAAAATTTATTTGGGTCGACCATTAAGGTATCGACTAACTAAACACGGTCGACCACTATGCTATTTAAGGTCGACCGTGATGTTTCAGCAGAGTGACCACGATGGTGAATTCATTCGGCGGCGTGTATGCATAGATCGACCGAAAAATGCAAATTACGGTGACTTGCCAGGCACCATAGGCGCACCCTTAAATTTAGCATTAAAAAAAATTGTAATTACTTGTTTGGCACTAAGCTTAACTTATTGTTTCATCATTGGTTGTCTAACTCCATTAAATTCGTTATTGGTGGTAGTCAAGTACAAGTTTGATCGTTAAGTTAAGTAATTGATATGTCAATTAAAAATAATTAAAATAAAAATAAATTATTTTGTATTTCCACCACCCAATCCACTCGACCATCTCCAACCTTCTGGCAAGGAGGAATTATATCCTAGTGCTAGGATGTGGCTTGTCATGTGCTGGCTCAGCAAAATCTAGAGTTTTCCGGCAAAGAAATGGACGGTTTCTTAGCAACGCTCGCGAATCTGGTTTGTTCAGAAAATGCGAAGTTATCTCTTTTGTCCATCTTAAATTTTAGAATCCATTTCTAAGGACATCCATTTAGATACATATATTTTATAAATCCACTTGCGAAGCGTGAACCATTTATCAAAGGCAACTTTTAGTTAATCGGCCAATTTGAATCGAAAGGCTATATAGGATTATCTATTTAACTAAGCACTTCCCCCTTTTATCACTAGGTCAAGTGTTGTTATTCTACCAATGTTAAGATACGTACATTGATGAAATTTGTATTTGAGTATGGTTACATTACATAGAGACTAGAGTCAAGTTGAAGATAGGCTGACAAACTAATCTAGGCAAGTGACCATTACATCTATGGTATCATATGTTACCTTCAACGACTTTGTTGAGATTTCTCAATTACCAGTAGTTGAAATCTTGATGTCAAAGATGTTCCGATTTCAAGCTCCAGGAGAGCAGGATGAGATGATTTATGTTCAAATTTTGACAACTCTAGTTGTAGTTTTCTTTTAAGAAGGTAGTGAAGGGGCAAGTCCCTCTTGTATCATAATGAGTTCTACGCATAAACTAGAAAATCTAGAAAATATATGAAGTTGTTGTCAAAAGCGAACTGAAAGATACAATATTGTTGACTTCGTTGGTATTAACACGAGGTCAAATTCGGTTTTCGAGAGGGAAAAATAAGATGTAATACAGGTTGCTAGAGGTGTTCAAATGGTTACCATGGTTATAACCAAATCAAATAAGGCTAAATTTCATTAACCATATAATACAGTATCATAATCAAACCGTCCAAACTAATACAATAACCAAATTAACCAAACTAAAGTTTAATCGGTTTGGTTAATTGGTTAACCAGATTAACCAATATAAAATCACATTATCATTGACGATGGAAATTTTCCGGTTAATGCAACAATTCGCAATTTATATAATGAATAAAATATAACAATCAACACGTAGTTATAGTTGACCCTTAACAAAAATACATGCAACTAAGACAATTATCTTACGATTAGTATAGAAGTATTCACCTAACAAAAATTTATGACAATGGTATGGGTTAATGAATTGTGGTGTTTGTGTAAATTGACTTAGTCTCTTAGCAATTATCATAGACTAGAAATGATCTTCCTTTCAAGTTTTCATCCATCATAATGTATGGAATTTATCTAAATTAGGCGTCCATATGTTGTGGTCTACATTTTACATATACAAATATACACTATATGAGCAATATTGAGCTTTATATTTTATATGAGTCTAAAAGGGATGAACGTTAACTCTTGAGTGGTTATGCAAAGTATTAAGTATGTGTATATAATATATGTTAGATATATGACTAATTATTTAACTGGTTAATTTGGTTTGACTGGTTAGGAGTGTCTGAAACCAAACCACCTAAACCAAACAAGCTAAAAACTTTAACCAAACCAATTATCCAAATTAACCAAACCAAATTATCCAAATAGTACCGGTTAAAACGATTACCATGGTAACCAAACCGTTTGAACACCCCTACAGGTTGCGCTCGCATCGCCCCACTAGCATCACCACCCAACCATCATCATCAATTGCCCGTTAGAATACAAGGGTAAAAAAGTTGTAGAGTGTTTTTATTGCAAAATTAATCAAATTAATTTTTCTATACAATAAGTGATACTAAATTACTAAACAACTAAAAAAAATACGAAATCATATGAAAATTAAGAACTAAAAATATAGTTAATGTGGATAATGTTGAATTTTGTTTCATCAAACATTGTTTTTAACTACTGTATTTTAGTTATAAAATAATGTATGTGAGCTAAATAAATAATTTTTGTATGAATGATTCTTTATTACCAATAATCACAAGAGAAAGTATAGCAAAACAAACTTCTACACAAGCAGAGAACTACAAAAAAAAAAGTCGGCTAATTATCATAAATGGTCATAAAACTATACAGTTTGTATAAAATGATAATAAACCTTTAATTTTGCACGTTTCAGTAACAAATGTTTGGACTAATAACAAAAAGGTAATTCCGTCTATCTCAATCCAAAAAATCGTTACTTTCGTCCAGTCAGCACGCCACGTCGTTTGAGATATTAATTAAAAAATTAAAAATCAAATCCAATTTGAACTGATAACCCAACAGAAAACCCTAATTCTATACTTACCCACCCGAATTCTTCGAGACAAAAACACCTGGGTTCGTCTTGAGCAGGCTCTGATGATTTTCGTTCGTCGTCGGCCCCGTACCCGTCGTGCACAGCGCGGAATGCTTGTATGCTCTCGAGGTCTTCAGCGCCATGTCCCGAAGCTGCCACAAACAACCACAGAATTACGCCAAATTAATTTTAACAGAGGTTTAGGGGTTTATGCTCACAGGAAGGGGGGGGGGGAATTAGAAAACCTGAGATGTGAGGGATTTGATTGCTTGATTGTTTTTAGCGTTGGGCGAATTGAGGTCTCTAATTAAGAAGAGTATGGACGAGAGAGAGTGTCTGAGAGATATGGGTTTTGAAGTTGGGGGTCGATCGTCGGGGGAGGGCGAAAAGACTATCGCCGGACGGCAACTGCCGAGGTGGTAGTGGTTTGGGAATTCCGTTGCCGGCTGAAATCTGCTAAATTCGAGAGCAGCTGGTTCGCTCGGAGACGAAGACGATGGAAGGATTGAGTTCGTCATCGTCGGCGTCGGCGAATTGGTAGTTGAAGCTGACGGAAATGCCATGGGTGAGGCGGCGGTCGTTGGCAGAGGAGTTGTCTCAAGAATTTGGGCGGGTGGGTATGGAATTAGAGTTTCGGTTGGGTTAGTTGAATTGGGTTTGCTCATTAATTTTTTAATTAGTATTTTAAATGATGTGGCATGCTGACTAGACGAAAGTAACGGTTTTTTGGATGGAGATAGAAGGAATTACCTTTTTGTTATTAGTCCAAACATATGTTACTGAAACGTGCAAAATTAAAGATTTGTTACCATTTTGTACAAAGTGTATAGTTTTGTGACCATTTAGGATAATTACCCAAAAAAAGTCAGGCAAAGCCACCAAAACTCAAAGAGAACAAGCAAAGACTAGTATGTGAATCCCCAAGACCGCGCTGATAAATTGTAAAGGATGAAAAGTACCAAAATAAATATATTTTCTTAAAAAGATAATGTGAAATTAGGAGAATATATTGTATTTTTATAATAGAGCTTTTCTAGAGTCTATACATTTATATTCTATATGAAATAATTTTCTTACAAGAGTTCAATTTTAAGCTATTTCACCTCATTTCTATTTTTGTGGTAAAAATCCAGAAAACACCGAGTCAACTGCACACTAAAAAACGTAAAATTCCACATATAGACTGTAAAATCTTAGTCTGCTTACCAAAAAAGCAATGAACTTTGTGGTCTCCAGGCGCTAATAGTAATACAGTATGACCGAACGAGACCCAAGAACACAAAGTACACTTTCCATTGTCCTGTTGATTTCTCCCCCTACTTCTCTGGTTCTTGACTTTAGCTCCCCAGAGACCCGGACTAATAACTCGATCCTACCCTATATAAACCCCCAATGTCACTCATTCGTTCATTCATTCATTTCTCTCTCCAATCAATCTGCACTTGCATTGTCAACTCAATTATCAAACAAGAGAAGGAAAAAAAATATGTCACTGCTACTGATCCTTTCCCTCGTGTTCCTTCTCTCATGGAACGTGGCAGCTGCGGGGGACGATGACCAGCAGAAAGCTTTCGTCCAGTGCCTTTCCAACTCCACCTCTGTCGCCTCCAACATCTCCAACATCGTCTACCCATCGGACAACCCTTCCTTCTCCAGCATCCTCGAGTTTTCAATCCGAAATCGACGATTCGACACCCCCACCACCCCGAAGCCCCTCGTCATCGTCACGCCGCACAACGTCTCCCACATCCAGTCCACAGTACTCTGCGCCCAGTCCCACAACCTCCAGCTCAGAGTCAGGAGCGGGGGCCACGACTACGAGGGACTGTCCTACGTCTCCCCTCGTCCGTTCGTCGTCCTCGACCTCATCCAGATGTCGAACATCACCGTCGACGTCTCCAACCGGACCGCGTGGGTCCAGTCTGGCGCCACGGTCGGTCAGGTTTACGCTCAGGTAGGCATAGTTAGTAAAATACGATACGGGGAAAAGTTGTGTACGTACGAAGATTTTATTCCGTCTACTTAGCTAATAACGACATAAAAACTACGTACGGGTAAATATATATATATATATATATATATATATATATATATATATATATATATATATATGTATTAAACGCGAAGTATTTTACTGATTATGCAGGTAGGAAAGAGCAGCAACACACTAGCATTCCCGGCTAGCGTGTGCAACACGGTGGGAATAGGTGGCATTGTCAGCGGAGGTGGGTACGGCACCCTCCTTCGCTACGCGGGGCTCGCGGCCGACCACGTGGCGGACGTCCAGGTGGTCGACGCGAGAGGTCGGGTTAGGGACAGGGCGAGCCTGGGGGAGGACGTGTTCTGGGCCATCCGCGGCGGCGGAGGGAACACGTTCGGAATCGTCGTGGCGTGGAAGTTCAACCTGGTGACGGTACCCGAAACCGTCACCATGTTCAGCGTGACGAAAACTCTCGAGCAAGGCCCCACCAAGTACCTGGCCAAGTGGCAGAAGATAGCCGACACTCTCCCGAATGAGCTCCTGATCCGAATCGTCATGTACAAGGCGGTCAACCCCGTGACCATAGCGGTGGTTTTCAATTGCTTGTATGTTGGGTCCAAAGACAAGGCCCTCTCGTTGATACAAGAAAGCTTCCCAGAGCTGGGAGTGACGCCAGAGGTCATGTTCGAGATGACGTGGGCACAGTCCACGATTCAGTTTGCTGGCGTCAACGGCACCACGCTGGACTCTCTCGAGAGCAGGACACCGGTGAAGGACGTGATCTACTTCAAGGCAAAATCAGACTACGTCACGAAGCCGATCCCCGATTCCGCCATGGACGGGCTGCTGAAGATGATGATGCAGGATGGAATCGAGCAACCCTACGTCATCTTCACGCCTTACGGTGGGAAGATGGCGGAGATCGCGTCTAACAGCATTCCCTTCCCGCACAGGGAAGGAAACCTGTTCAAGATCCAGTACCTGGTGTACTGGAAGGAGGACTCGGAGGAAGTGAGCAACGCGCACATGAAGTGGATAAGGGATGTGTACGACTACATGGGATCCTACGTCTCCAGCAACCCGAGGGCCGCATACATTAACTACAGGGACCTCGACATTGGAGAGAATATGAACAGCAGCACCGGCGGTAATGGTACGACGGCGTATCAGCAGGCTAAGGTCTGGGGAGTCAAGTATTTCAAGGGGAACTTTGAGAGGTTGGTGAAGATCAAAACGGCGTTCGATCCTACCAATTTCTTCAGCAACGAGCAGAGCATTCCGTCTCTTGGTGTGGGGAAGGAAGGGCAAACGACGTCGTCCAACAGTAGTAGTTCTGCTTCTGCTCCTTCTGGAGATTCTGATGGTGGAAATAACGCAGGAAATGAGACTCAGAGCGGCGACAATAACGCGGGAAATGGTACTCAAAGTGGTGACGTAGGACAAGGGGATAATAATACTACTAATAATAATAATGATAATAATAATGGTACTCAAATTGGTGGTGTAGGACAAGGAGATAATGGTAATAGTACTACTCAAACCAGTGCATCGGTGGTCGTCCGTTATGGGCCTCGGTCTTATTATTATTTGGTACTCTTATTTTTGGTGTTGTTCATTTAGGAACTTAGATAATATGTTTTGTTTAACAATTGGAGTATTATGAGTTGATTAAGATTGATTTGTTTTTTTAATTACTTGTATCGTGTTCCTTCATCAATTGAATATAATAAGCCTTTTTATCAATTTGAGCTTCTTGATTCCAATTTTTCTCAATTACTAAGTATTCGTTTAATTTTTATTTTCATATCGTTTTATTATTTTGGGCTAATTTCACTAGAAGACCCCTACTATCCAAAAAGTGTCATTTGTGTACTCAACTATTCAATATGACAATCCTGGCACGAACTTTCGTCTTCGTTAACTTTGTTAAAGTTGAATGTTAGTTTTCAACAGTCAACAAGTGGACCGCTGATGTAGATTATTTTTACATTAAAAAGTAAAAAAAATCTTTTTTTCTTTTTACTCCTCATCCCACCAATCTATCCCTGCCGCAACCATTCAAACAACCCTCCAACCACCACCCCCTCCGCCTCGCCACCACTGCCTCCATTGATGGTATTAATCACAAGATAATTGGTACTGTCGTATCATCATACATGTTTAACACTTATCTTCTGATCCATAATTTTTTTTCACTCCATAATAAAATTGAGTTAAACTCAATGAATCTAGTACTTAAAATTAGTTTCTTACTGTTGACCATCTTATAGTTCATAAAACTTGGGGGCAACTTGATTTCAGTCTTATTTTCATATCGTTTTATTATTTTTTTATCTTTTATGTTTTAGTGCAGTTCATAATCAAACAACTAAATTATCATTAGTTGAATTCAAACTCAAAAGCCTATACTATAATTATTTAATCATTGAGACAAAAATTTATTTGGTGATACTAATCATATTTCTACTATGATAAAGTCCATTGATGGTATTAATCACAAGATAATTGGTACTATCGTATCATCATGCATGTCTAAGACTTAACTTCTGATCCATAATTTTTTTCACTCCATAAATAAAACCGATATTAGATAAATTTAGTTAAACTCAATGAATCTAGTACTAAAAATTAGTTTCTTACGGTTGAGCATCTTGTAATTCATAAAAATTGGGGACAATATATTCCTTGTGTAAATGCCACCATATCCAGCTTTGAGCTTTCAAGTTACATTTCATACGTGGATGCTTATTATAAGAGATTCCAAACATATCGTAAGATTTCCTTTCTTGAAAATCAGTAAATTCCAAGCTTCTTCCTTGAATACTTTTATACATACTTCTTATGGTGATCTATATCATACTCTATTCTCGTAAGATGATATACACTAGCTAGAAGCCCGCCTTGTGAACATATCATTTATTTTATAAAAATACAGAATTTATGATTATAAATAATTAAATGGACATAAAACCTGAAAATTTTGAAAATAGTTTAAATACAATGTTAGATAATTAATAGAAACAAAAACCACCCGGATAATCTCCAAAAGCAAAGCTAGCTAATCAACAAGCATTTTGAATTTTCATTTGACATCAAAAGACAAAAAGGCTCGCATAATTGATATACTGCTTAGCCTGATAGCCTCAATCAACAAAACGTGGAGATGGATTTTGAATTTTTGAGTTATGCACTTACTGTTTGGTTTCTATTAGGAATAGCTTATAACTCCACCCATTGGCCGGAATATTCATATTTGATTATTTATATTTTTATGTTACGTTTAAGCTAATCAACCAGTTTAATTTTATTGACAATCTTTCGATCGAGATGATACATAAAGAAAAAATATATAGGTCTAACATTCGGAGAAATACCATCATCATTTAAGAATATAAAATATAAAATGTATCACTAGTTCCATTTTCATAATGATAATTAAGCCCTCATTAAAATGCTATTGGTTAGTTGATTGTCAAGAAAGAGGGTATAAAAGCTCATTGAAATTCCACATGATCCATAGATAGTTTGAAACTAAATCTTAAACCTCACAATCCTACATAAGGGTTTAATGCGCTCCTTTTATGAACAATATGCCACTAATAAAAAAAATGGAGAGTTGTTGATTCAAGTCAACTATATACTAACAACTCAGCTAAGAGGGGATCATCAAAACTTGAGAGCAAACGACAAAATTAGGGTTATCTCCAATATACTAATAGACTTAATCAAAGTAATAATGCACAAAATTAGACACTCCTTGTCTATCAGTTCCAGTAGGTTGAATAAAGAATCGACTTACTTCAATAAATCAATCTATGATTCCTCGTTTTAAGATAGAAATAGGTTGCGATACATGTAAAGACCATAAATATAAAGATCCAATAGCCACCACTCTTCGTTGTATAACCAAATTTTTATCTCAAGAGACATATGTTTCAACCAAAAATTCAATTTGTAATCCTCCTTCTGCAACTCCATTATTTATTAAAGGCCAAATTCACCTGTATAGCCAAAACTTTGACGGTTTTGCCAAATATAGCCACTTTTGGAGAAATACCAGAAATAGCCACTTCCGTCCAATTGTTTGACGGTGTTAGTTAACGTGCTGACTGGACAAACGACAGCAGTTGACGTGGCATATTTTATTCAAAAATAATGTAAGTGGAAAATAAACAAAATTCTATCTTTTTACAATTAAATAAAAAATTATAAAAATAAAAAACAAAAATATCTTTCTCTCCATCACCAACACCTCCTGTTCACCTCCCCTTCATCAATCCTTAACCAATAATAAAAACAGAAGCTTCCTCTTCTGCAAACCTCCACAACCTCCCCAGCCCAAATAAAAATCAATCCCTACCCATTAATCCCCACCCAGCTTCCGTCGACGATACCACCACCACCATTTGAAACCTTCCATTCCCCAAATCAATCCGATACCACCACTACCATTTCGATTAATGGAGATGCTGTTCTACGATGTTCTTCAAGAGACTTCCACGACGTTTGGTGGCGGCGACCCTCTGGCCAGCAAAACTGAAGTCGTCGACCCAGTGGTGGTGCCGACAATAGAGAAGGAGCCTCCGTCTGGCGCTCGATTCTCCTCCAATGTCTTCTGGAGCTCGATTCTCTTCCGATTCTCCGTTGCTACCGGTTCTGGGTCACCGCCAGTTCTGGGTCTCGTCGCCGCCACCAAAATCCCATCTTCCAACGACGCCTACTCTAGCACTTTGGATGTTGAGACCGGATCTGGATGCCGGGTCACTAGTTGGATCTGTATCCAGACCAAATCTCGCCGCCGGATCGCTAATCAGATCTGCATCCAGACCAAATCTTGCCGCATCCTCCTCCTCTGAAGCTAAAAACAGAAATCGGCCTAGGAACGAGGAGAAGGGGTCTTCGCGGGGGTCTTCGTTCTCTGAAAAGGAGAGACTGGGTCCGCGCGAAAGGAAACGAAGGCGGCGGAGCGGGTGACGTCGTCGAGTACGAGTGCGGTGGAGCTGGGGACGTCGTCGAGTGCGAGTGCAGTGCGGCGGAGCTGGGTTCTTCAACGAGTGCGGCTGGGCTGCTTCAATCGGCGGAGCTTGGTTCGTCGAGGATAGCGGCTGGGAAACCCTAAATCGAATGGAATTGGGGAAATGAAAGAATAACATTTCCAATTCTATTTAGCTGATTTATGGTAAAAAAAATTTACCCATTAAAAATGACGTGGCATCTCACCTGTCAATGGATGCTAAGGTGGGAAGGAAAGACACGGTGAGGTGGCACCCACATCAACTGTCCGTTAATTAGACTAACGGTGTCATTGACGCCGTCAAACTATGTAACGGAAATGGCTATATTTGTCATCGAACTTTCAAAAATCTGGCTATTTCTGGTATTTCTCCAAAATTGGCTATATATGTCACAACCGTCAAAGTTTTGGCTATGCAAGTGAATTTGGCCTTTATTAAACTCTTTTACATGCCCAACTTAAATTTTCAACAATAAAACCGACGTGCCAAGAGATACCAGATGATTGATTTTCAAAGGCGGTCTTGTACTGGGAAGTGAAAGGGGTGCAAACCATTGTACGATGGAGGAAATTTTCGAGGAAGTTAGAAAGAGATAAGAACAAAGATAAAAACCACAAAATTTAAATTGAAAAATGCAAGGACACAACATGTAGTGACAAAATTAGTTTTTTTCCATGTAAGCCAATTACCAATTTACCTATAGCAAAAATTAAGGAGAGAGAAAGAATTTTAAAATTGAGAAAGCGCATGAAACTCTACAATGAAAATTGAAGTATCAAGCACCATAAAATATATACGGTATACTTAGTGGGCTTGCTAATCATGATGGAAAGTTCTGCGATTTTCAGAGAGTTGAAGTTCGTGTATATTTTGTATTAAAAAAAGACAAAACAAATTTGTTCAGTGTAAATGGTTGTGATTGTTGTCTTTGTTTGAAGAGACACGGGTGCAAATCCTTATGTTGATATTTTTTATGTGAGATAAATAATTAATTGTAAAAGCAAAAATGTCCTTCCTACTTACACTAAAATGTACTATATATTATTGGGGGATTAAAATATAGGATATGATTAAGGTGACTTTCAAGTTACCATGAATTGGGAAAATGGTAGACCTCTTCCTTAAAATGATTGTTTGGATGACAACAAATTATTAATTGTTTATACGATGCGGTAGACCTGATGATAAAAAGTTCATTGTTCGGACATAAATTGTTTGGCCACATATTGGAAAGGCCAATCGGCAAGGACTAGAGATAGTTGTATACCTCGAGACGACGTCATAAAGCATGCTATAAAAATAACGAATCTTGCGGTTGCACATGAAAGATCGACTAAACAGCCAGTGTGGTCAACTTTTTGAATCAACATATGCTTAGTTGAGAGCGCCAAATCTGAAAATTGATAACCCCCTTTTTGATATTGCCAATAATCGCTTGTAAGGTCTGCCTTGATCCATGCGAAAGAAGAAAAGCAGGGACACCACTCATAGGTAGAGTGCCTCAACTATTAAGGCTGCCAATCGTTCTGCAAACAAAGAATCATTAGCAAAACTACCCTTTTCATAGTTAGGGGAAATAGACCAGATATTCGTTATCACTAGTATGAGAATGATGCTTTTTTTTGTGTTGAAGGAGTAGCAGCTGATCGACCTCATGCATGGATAGATAAATACATGTGTTTGGTCTGCTTTATTAGTCTATTTTATGTGTGTATGTGGCGTGGTTTGTCGTGTTTCTAGTTTGAATGATACTTGTGGTCAGATTTATGAGTTTTTTATATGCTTCATAACACTTGTGGCCGACTTTGAATTTTTAGGTATGTTTTATGAAAGTTGTGGTGGGGTGCATTGGCGTAGCTAGAGACATAATTTTGTGGGGTCCAAATAAAATGAAATACAAAGTTTGTCTCAATAGTAAAATTATTGTCTTGGGAAGAGGGGGTCCATGGACCCCACATCCCCTCACCTAACTCCGCCAATGATAGGGTGAACTTTTGATTAACTTTATGTATTTTGGGGCGAGATTAATCATCTTTCTTGTATGATTTTTCTGGTTTGATATGCATATGTTTGATGATATTTGTGTTCCACACATGTGTTGCTCTGACAATTTTAAAAAATGGCAATCATGTCCTTTTTTAAAATTCAACATTATCTGCAAGCTTGTAAAGATAATTGTCATCTATGAATGTCATGTCATGACATGCAATTCTTCTAATTGCAATTCCAATTATGTAAAGAAGCCTAGCTGCTTGAATTATGTGCCGGTCGAGACCGAGAGTGTAAACTCACGCTCCTCTCCGCTGCTGGCTATTTACAATTTTACATCCTCGAGAGCACGTGTCAACGCGTCAGGCTGAGCTGGTTCAGAATCCACGTGGCAAATTCCTACAGGTAAATAATCATTGAATCCCAGCCATCCGCTGCCTCCGCCGGAAGGCCGACTTTGCCTCTGTATGACCGTTCGTGGAAGTTAAGAGAGAGGGGGAGAAGAAGAAGAAATTGTAAGGAATGGAATGAAAACCGAAGTCTTTTTTGCTTCTTTTGTTTTTATATAGACAGCTTAGATAGAGAGAAGGGGAAAAAACCCCAGAATAACACAGACAACTTTCATTCTGTAGAGAGAGAGAGAGAGAAAGAGGGAGGGAAGGAGAGAGGGGGAAGCTCTCCCTTTTAGTCCTCAAGGCTTCACAAGGTACTGCGGCCTACCCATATGGATTCTTGTTGGAAAAATCGAATCTTTTCCCCCTTATTGGAATTGCATCTTCTTCTACTGTTGCTGTTGATCTCGATTCTGTTTCCCTTTTGTTCTTACCCGTTGAGAGCTTTCTGTTACGGCTCCCTGTTTCCGTTTTCATGGTTGGAACTGTTTAACTGTCATTTCAGTAGCCCTTTTGTTGTCTAGGGTTTTCTAGATTGAGGGGTTTTGGATGGGATTAGGCTTTCTTTCTGGGTTCTGGAGGGCTGTTTAGTTCTTAGTTGTAATTGGGTTGTCTTTCTTGAGTCTTCTAATTGTGTGGCTCTGAATTTGACAGCCTGGGAACTGTTGACTTCTGTTCCTTTTTTCTGTTCATTTGAGAGCTGGGTTTCTGTTTTTTGGTTAACGATTGGCTTAGATGTGAATCTTTCGTTCCCTCTCTCTATCTCTTGTGCCTTCATTTCGATCCTGTTCTGTTAAAATGGTAATTGTCTTCAAAGATCATTGGATACTGCTCTTCTGTAGGCAAATAGGAAGACTTTTCATTGCCTACCTGTTTGTTCTTGTGATTCCATTGTATTTCAGAGGGAAAGAGTACATTTTGACCGAATTGTGTAGCTGCTGTGTCCTCAATTTCATGCAAGAAATAGTCTTTCTGAGTTGATTGACTTTGTAATAAGCTGGACAATTAGAGGTCTGTTTTTTTTTCAGTTGACAGTAAAACTCTGTTGGTTTCTGCTGCAAAGCTTATCATTACCAGTTCCTTGTTTGGCGTGTTAACAAAGTAGACCAGGTTGGATCATGCTCTTTTTATTTGACTTGTTTTATTTGGAGTCCACTTGATTTCTCCGTGATCTTGCTAATGAAAAGTCCTTGACATACTTGGAGGATTTCATTGGAGCACCGTATTTGCTAATTGAATTGTGCTTAGATGTTTGATATGTTGCCCCCTCTGATAATTTCTCTCTCTGGGATATGATAGTCTCTGCAGGTGCTTTGATTGCTAAAGGGGAGACATTGCTTTCAAATTGATGTGTCAAATCTAAGACTGTGGCAAATATAATCAGAACAGATCAAATGCCATCATTGAAAATGAAGACAAAACTAAGTGGGGGCTCTTTAGGGGAAAGAAGTCTTGGTGTGTGTCAGACGTCCAGTGTTATATGCAAGAAATCATGCGCTAATGTCCACACGGTTTATCCTTTATCAGAGGCTGATCTTTGTATTCAGAAATGTCCAGATGATTGCGGTGAGTATTATCCATTCTTGAAGAACACTAGGTTTTGTCATCCTTGGTTCATAGCTATAACATGTTTGCTGAATTAGCTCCAAAACTGTTCTTTGGGATGGCTTAGCCTCGCAGCTAGGTTATGTTTTACTTGTCCATACAGCTTGTCTTTTTATGGTTCAAAGATATGAGCATCAAACTAACAATGTGTTATTCCCTCAGTGCGGTCTGAGCCACAAAATAATAGTCTTCAAATTCCAATTATTTTGGGGAATTTGTTTAGATGTTTGGTAGGCCTTATTTCTTACTAATGCTCCATATGTGATACTGATGGACTTTTTTTTATACCTGTGTGGCTGTGTTGTGTTATTTTTTTATCTTCTCCAGTTTCATCGAGTGAGGACATGCATTCTCCGGAAACCGATGGTGTTGAAGTCCCTGATCAGCAAAAACTGTCACATCATGGGAACTCCCATTTTCAGACATATGATTCTAGTATAGATTCTGGAACCATTGTGAAGATGGTAAGACTTCTGCATGGTACTTGTCATAGAATGTTTTTCTTTCCTTCTTGTCCGTGTCATCTATTAGCTATTGTGCTGTTCAAATTTTGGGGTGCAAGTGACTTTATATGGTTTGAGTGCGTTTTCAACCTTATGTTGATGTGTATTGTGTTGTGTGTTTTTTACGTGTCTCCCATGTCTGAAATTGATAATATTTCTAGTAGTAGTTCATCTTACCTAATCAGGCTAGTTGTGCAGCTGCATGGTTCACTCTTTAGCTCTTTGTTTGGACTAGGGTTTGAAGATAACTGTCAACTTTTCTTTGTAGGCTAATATAGAATTATTGGTATGGATTTGTGCACAGCAAGTTATTATGCGTTTAAAACTTTAAATTCTGCCATGCTGGCCAGTACTTGTTTTAACTGCTTCAGATAGTGTTGTTTTCGATGTTCTCGTATCCCAATCAGTTTCTGGAACATGTTAGTGGCCCTTTCCTTTTGTTTCTGAGATTGATTGCTTTAGTTACTAATTTCTTGTAATGTGCTGAACTGTAGGATTCTACACATAGCTTCACAGCTGACTTGGAAACCATTTTTTCCCCGGCTTTGGAACCCATTTGTATATACAACATGCCCAACATAGACGAGAATCCAGGTATGCTAAAACATTACATTACTTAAACATACAACTTCTAGTTGCTAGCTGGAGCACTCACAAGTGTTGCACATGATATCTGTTGCACCCTTTTGCATGAAGTCTATTGTCTGTTTCTGACTTGATCAGATGCTTTGAAGTTGATGCCTGAATCTATGAAGGACAATGAGCCACTTAATTCTTTGTACGAAGTCCAACTTTATGCTAATTGACTATCTTGTAATACATTTGGCAGGAGGCAAAAGTAATCTTATCTTCTCAGGGTTGGGAATTGATGGAAGGGATAGTCATATAAGATTATCTGATTATCAGAGCTGCAACATCTCAGATTTCTCTATCTCCGAAATGATTATCTCTAGCCTACCATATGATGGGAATGCAATAGATAGTCATCTCTATGAGAGTGAAGCTTTTCCTGATTACAGATGTGCTGAGCCAAGTATGTTGTTTGATATGGCTCAGGAGTGCTTGATACTCCCTTTTCTTGAGGATACTGCCAAATTGACAAATTCCAATGATCTGAAATCAGGTGAAGAGGCCATTGAAGGTGGTCCAGATGATGCTGACTTATATACAGCTATCAGCCAGATAAGAACCTATAACCAGGAATGTGATCCTATCGCCAACTCTGATCAGGCAGATGATTTTGATCCTCAGTTCTTTATCAGAACTCTACCTGAATTATCAGAAGTTGTATCAAATTTTCAAACAAGCATGTTCCCGAAAGATACTCAAAGGAGGAAGTCAATAACATTAGTACTCGACTTGGATGGTAAAACATTTATGCACTTTACTATAATAGCTAGGGGGTTTTCGTTTTTGCATATCTCAGGTAGAACAGTTTCTGCAATTAAATATCTCAGGAGTAGTAAGTGCTGAAATTCTGTTTTTGTGACCAGAAACACTTGTTCACTCTACATTGGAACATTGTGTGGATGCCGACTTCACTTTCACCGTGTTCTTCAACATGAAAGAGCACACTGTATTTGTGAAGAAGAGGCCTCACCTACATACGTTCCTGGAGACAGTTGCTGAGATGTTTGAGATTGTCGTCTTTACTGCAAGCCAAAGCATATATGCAGAACAACTTTTGGACATACTGGATGCTGAAAAGAAACTCATATCTCGTCGGATTTATCGGGAGTCATGCATATTTTCAGATGGCACATATACGAAAGATTTGACAGTGTTAGGTGTTGATCTTGCCAAAATTGCCATAATTGATAATTCTCCACAGGTACGGTGACCATACATACTAGATAGTTCTTATTTTACATATCCTCAAGTCACTCTGCATATAAGTCTGGTCGTATATCTAAACTTTTGCACGACAAATTGGTCTACTGTCTATCTACTTGAAGCTTAGCTTTGACATGCTAAGCTCCTGAAAAGCAGATTTGAGATGCTTAAAACACTTGGGAAGCAGCATAAGAGGATATTGTTTACATAACTGATGGATAACATTAATAAATAGAATCGAGTGACTTGGATGTGCACAGAAGATCAAGACATGCGTTTCTGCTTCTCCCCATAAGAAGTGTACTTAAAGACATATAAAAAAAACAAGCTTACCATTGTATTCCAATCCTGATTAAGTGTTGCTTTCCTTGAATGATTTCAGGTTTTCAGGTTGCAAGTAAATAATGGGATTCCTATTAAGAGTTGGTTTAGTGATTCTTCAGATCGTGCTTTACTATCATTACTGCCCTTCTTAGAGACCTTGGCTGATGCTGATGATGTCCGCCCAATAATTGCAAGGAGATTCGGTAACAAGGAATAAGAGTTATCTTTCCTTAATAGCTTGGATATTGTGCATTACCCTTAGTTTCTCTTCTTTCCGTCAAATTGGGTCTCTAATATTAGATGGTCAATCTCTTCTCTTTCTAGTATTTTCAAATAAGTAACTATAGAATAAGATAGAGTTTGTTTTGTTGTCGATCCAGCCTTGCTTGTTTCTTCTCTTTCTTTGGGCCAACAGGTCCTTTCAGGTAATCATCGTCTAGTTCTTCAAAAGGCAGTCGTAGGGACTATCCTGTTTTGTTGTACAGTTGAAGTTTCAATTTATAGAGAAGGTGTACATAAACATTCACGTCAAAGAAAAGTTTCCTACTTTGCGTTCTCTTAGTTGGTGGTGGCCTACAATTCTATATCGAGGTCTCCATTGCTTCTTTTTAGTTGTATGATAGTTGATTTACATTGAAGCCAGTTAAGCCTTAGAACTTCAATGCTAGCAAATTAGCATGATTCCCACTATGGGGATGTATTAGCATGATTCCCTCTATGGGGATGTATAGCAGCAATCAATAACCCGGTTGAGTGTAGTAGTTCATGAACCTACAAACTGTTAAGATGGTTGGGGTGCTTTGTCTTGCTGCCATTTGCATCTACATTTGGAATATGAGTTAGCTTTCTTAACATGGATGATAAATTGCTCAAAACATAGAATTTTGACGTCTTCTAGAAAATTTATGCTAAAGGTGTTTGCTGAACAAAGGAGTTTGGAGTCTATGATTTGCTTTTGAAATATGGGGGATTCTAAGAACTTGTTAGTGATGAAATTATTACTGAAATAGCGTCTTTTCCCCCCTTTCCTTTTTTACACTGTGGCTGCGTAATGGTGCCTTCTCTGCAGGTGTTGTGAGGAATGGCTTTATGTGTAGGTACGCAGTGTTTCATATTTGTTTTACCAGTGCCCTTTTTTGTTAAAGATCTCAACTTTGTCTGTCTGTACAAATATTATCTGTTTTTGGATCAACAGATTGTTTCGCCTAACATGTCTCTTTTTTCTTGAATTTCTCGTTTAATTGCGTCAGGGTATTCTATAGCATGTTCTGTTCTACAGGACCATTTTTCACAGGGGGTTTCAATACACATTTGTAATATTTTTTCTTTCCCATAATGCCATACGGTCGCTTTTGTTCTAGTCGAGTTGTGACCTGACCTGTATCTTCCACTGTTCAATGATGTAGCAGTAGTAGTTAAAAAGAGTGAGAACATCCAGCAGCCTGGGCGATGTTGCTCGGTTGCTGTACGAATTTTACTAGTTTGTCCAGTCTTTTACCCCGAACAGACTCGTTTTCGACAATTTTGTAGATACATTGTGTTTTAGCAATTGTCGTATGCTTCTTAAGGCTGTTTTGTTCTTTCAGTACGATAAATGTTCGTTTCGGATTTGCATGAATGTTGCGCTGTGCAGTCGGCTTGTTATCAACCATTGATTGTGAAGTTGTTTTCCACTTGTAATTGCTCTGTTATGATGATCCAACTGGAAGTAGACTGAGATCTTTCTTTGGTGATACGTCCAACAGTTGTTGTTCAGTCTTCCCAGCAGCTGTGTGATCTGGTTTGCAAGTGAGATTATGTCAGATAGATAGGGGAATTCATCTTCTCCTGGCAGTAAGTAAGAGTCAAGGGTTGGGTGATTTGGTTAATCAAATTGCCCCAGGTGGCAAGATTCCAACTGGAATCTGAATCCTAGGTTCTTGCCAATGGGAAGCTGAGAGATGGGGTTTTCAGCAATAGGAAAATGATGTTCTAAATTGGACAAGTGAGTGAGAGAGGGAAGGTGAAAATGATGTTCTCCATTCAATCTCCAATACATAAAAGCTCACCCTTCCTCCCATTGTTGAAAGAACGAAGCTTTGAATTTAGCAATGGGTGAGATCAATAACACAACTTCATAGCAGAAGCCATCTCGAGAACACCGTTATAAGGTCGTATGAATGAAATCATGAATTAATTGAATGAGGAAATAACTTAGTTATTTGAGGCTCATAATATTTTTTGGCAACTCACTTCCCAGATGAGTGATTATGGGATGGGACATGGGAGCTTTACCTGTGAATAACGCGTAGGGCTCACTTTTTGGTACGCAATTTTTCTCTCTCTCAATATCCAAATTTCTCTCATGTGTTTTTTTTTTTCTAGGTGCGAAAATGACCTTAGTAATAAACACCAAACGAGTTCTTGTAAGAACCTCCAAATATGAGTAATTTTATTGAAAATCACCTTGGTATTCACCCGAAGTCAAAAATTGTGAAAGTTTAGTTTCAAAGCGAATAATATCTTATTGGGAAAATATTTAGGATGTTACAATGAACTTCAACAAGAATGAGGAAAAACACAAAGGTAAAATATTACATCCATTCACTTGTAGATTTAATCCGCAAGATCGTTGATATCCCAAAGTCCCAACCTAGTTGCCGAATGCCGAACAAATAACACTCTTGTATCTTGATCATAAATCATAAAAAAAACCTTTGATGTGCAGAAGGCACAGAAGAAAACCAAACGAGTTGAGAATCAAAGTTCGTCCGTTTTCCCAATCTACTGGTTTAGTAATAAACACCCACGTGATCACTATTAGTCATTTAAAAATCCGTAATCAAAATCAACATTTAATCCCCGCATGCCCTTTACAGCTTCCTTAATCTCTTTCCAATCCTAACGTTAAAAACCGTCAGTCCGCCACCCTATATAAAAAACCCTACCAAATGATCCATCGCATCCCCACAGAACAAAGCAATACGATGAAGCTCGTAACTCCATTCATTCTTCTCCTCCTGGCCCTCCACCCTTCCTCATTCCCCACCGCCGCCGCAGCGCGTGACCTCACGACCCTCCCCACCTCCACGTGGAGCTCCGCATCGTCCACGTCATCACCACCATCCACCTCCCTGGCTTCGCGGCTGAAGTACTCGGACGCGGCGGCGGGGGGATCAGGAGATGGAGAAGAGACGAGCAACTGCTGGGAGTCCTTGACGGAGCTGCAGGCGTGCTCGGGGGAGATCATCCTCTTCTTCCTCAACGGCGAGACGTACCTCGGCCAAGGGTGCTGCCGTGCCATCCGCGTCATCGGCCGGCACTGCTGGCCCCACTTGATGGGGACGTTGGGCTTCACCGACGAGGAGAGCGACGTGCTCGAGGGGTACTGCGATCGCGCCGACGACGACGATGGAGACGATGGAGAGGATGGTGGCGATGGGGGGTCTCCCGCTCCGCCGAATCATCACTCGCCGCCGGCATCGCCACGGCATGTGGTCGTCGTTCCTTGAGGATTTTCGTAATAGAGTTTGGGTTGGGCTATTGTAGGAAGAATAATCATGAGCATGTAATTATATGAAGAATAATTGGCTTTTGGAATGGACCCGGTGAATAAATTATAAAAATTGTCTCCCTCTTGTTTCTTTTATTTGGGGTTTGCTAGTCTAATTATGTATGATTTGCGTTTGGGGATATGGCAAAATAAACTTGCGCAGTCATTGGTATATTATTATTTTATCCGACTCAACCCGATCAAAATGGATAAAAATTAGTGTCGGACTATCGCGTTTGCGCCATCTGTGAATAGGGCAACAGACATGTGTACTATTTTGTGAAGCAGGCCTGAAAACCGAGTTGTGAGTTACTGCAAGCCATGAAGGGATTCTTTGATGACTCGGTTAAATGGAATAAAGAGGTTTTTGGCAACATATTCAGGAGAAAGAAAGAGCTTCTCAGGACTCTCAAATAGTTGGAATTACTAAACGAATAAAAACCATCAAGAAGCTCCATGGACAAAGAGAAGAACACACGTGAGGAGCTAGAGGAAGTCCTATAACATAAGGAGCTTTTATGGAGGCAGAAAGCAAGGGTTAATTGGACGGTTAAGGGTGATCTCAACACCGGTACTTTCATAATTGCACCCTTAGTAGAAGGAAAAGAATCAGAATCAACAGACTTAAAGAATGATGAGGGAAATTGGATTGAGGATCCTGACCAGCTTCAGGACATGGCCAAAGGACACTTTGTTAACCTGTTCACAAGTTCTGTCCCACCACTAGAGTCCATATTTCTGCTTCTTTCCTTCAGGTGGATGATCTTGGGCTTAAGATGGTGGGGAAGATGCCCAATGCTGCTGAAATCAAAGCCATGGTTATGGAGATGAATGGACTCAAAGCCCCGGGGAAAGATGAGTTTCATGCATTGTTCTATTAAAAATGCTGGAACGTGGTGGGCATGGAGTTTGCTTCGTTTGTCATGAACTGTTTCAGGAACCCCTGCAGCATTCAAAGCATTAATGAACCTCTTCTTGCCCTCATTCCCAAAGTGGACTCTCCTTCTTCCATGAGCCACTTCAGACCCATCACCCTTTGTAATGTGGGTTACAAAGTGGTTGCTAAGAGCATTGCCAACAATATGAATATACTGATGCCTAAACTGGTCCACCCCAACCAATCAAGCTTTGTCCCTAAACGTCACATTACTGATTACATTATTATCTTACAGGAAACTGCACTCTATTTCTAGGAAGACATGGAAGAAAGGAAGTATGCTTCTCAAAGTCGATCTTGCAAAAGCCTATGACAGAATTGATTGGAAGTTCCTTGAGGAAACACTGATTGCTGCTCATCTCCCTGCTGATTGCATCAGGCTGATCATGTCCTGTGTCACAACAACCTCCTTCCAAGTTCTGTGGAATGGTGGAGAAACAGAAAGCTTCATTCCCTCTAGAGGACAAAGACAGAGATGTCCTCTTTCCCCTTACCTCTTTACTTTGTGCATTGAACGGCTTAGCCATTGCATTATGAAGGAAGTTAGTGATGAAAATTGCAAACATGTTTGTCTGTCTCCTAGTGGCCCTGCCCTTTCCCACCTTTTCTTTGTTGAACTTGGTGCTTTTCTCTAAAGCTAGTCTGTCTCAAGTTAATACTGTTATGAAATGCATAGAATCATTTTGTCTCGCCTCAGGTGAAATGATTAGTAAAGAGAAGTCTCGAACCTTTTTTCTCTAAGAATGTTAAACTTGTTGACATACACAACATCTGTAACCGCCTTGGTATCCAAGAAACCTTTGACCTTGGACGTTATCTTGGTGTGCTTGTGATCCATGGCAGGTAGAGGTGGCAATTGGATTGGATTCGTGGATTCGTGGATTGGATTGGTGGATCCATGGATCAAATGGATTGGATCCAATGGATTGGTGGATTGATCCATGAATCCAAATGACATCCAAGGCTTGGACCAAAATGTAAAATTTGAAAAGTTTTGGTACTAAAATGTCATAATGAAAATTTTTAGGTGCCAAAATGTAATTTTCCAATGATATTTTTCGTATAAAAATATAAATTTTAGGCACCAAAATGTAAAATATAAAAAATATAGGTACCAAATCGTAATTTATCATTTGGATCCATGAATTGATCCATGAATCGACCAATCCAATTGGATTTGGATCAAATGGATTGGATTGAAATGGATTGGATTAGGTGGATAATTCGGTGGATGGATTGGATTCATGGATTTGGATCCTAATTGCCACCTCTAATGGCAGGCTAACCAAGAACACCTATAGGTACATTTTGGATAGAATGGACCAAAAGTTGTCTTCCTAGAAAGCCAGAACCCTCTCCTTGGCAGGAAGGGTTACTCTTGCTTCCTTTGTGCTTAATGTCATTCCCACGTATGCAATGCGAACGACACTCATTCTTGTTTATGTGTGTGATGAAATTGATAAAAAGATAAGGGGATTTGACTGGGGATCTATGGATAGGAAGAGAAAGCATCACCTTATGTCTTGAGAGAGGATCTGTATGCCTAAGAAGCTAGGAGGGCTAAGCCTTAGGTCTGCTCGTTGTTTGAATAAGGCATATATGATCAAGTTGGCTTGACAAATGCTTAACAATGAAAATGATCTTTGGGTCCAGGTGCTACAGGAGAAGTATTACAAGCAGAGGAATTGAGACATCATCTCTATGAAGAAGACGAACCATTCTAGCCTCTGGAAAGGAATTGTGAAAGCAATACCCCTGATGAAAGAAGCTTCCTGCTGGAGCATTCAGAATGGTGAATCAACAAGTTTCTGGAGACACCCTTGGATCATGGGCTACTCCTTGAAGACTTTCTTACCAAGGATATCACTGAAGAGGAAAAAGAGTCTCTAGTGGCCAACTGGATTACTCAAGAGGGTGAGTGGGATTGGAAGAGATTAAAGACCTTCTCCCTGATGACAAACTTCTTCTTATTGCAGGAATGGAGAAACCGAGACCCGAACTGGGGGAGGACAAGATGATTTGGGGCCTGGAGCAAGACGGGAGATTCCAACTGAAGTCTGCCTACAACCTTATTGCAAACACTGAGGACGAAGGCGCAGAGGAGGGCACCTGGAAAGCTCTATGGAGATGGAAAGGACCCAGCAGGGTCAAACATTTTCTCTGGCTTGTGCTGCACGGCAGACTCTTCACCAACAAGGAACGTGTAAGAAGGAAGATGGCCACGAATAGCAACCACGAATAGCAACTGTACTTACTGCAAAGATACTGAAGAAACAGTGGAGCATATCCTGCGAAACTGTGTGAAAGCAAATGTTGTTTGGGATAGGTTTCGTCACAAGCTTGCTGCTACTAATGCTATTATTCCATTCCATGAGTGGGTGCTTTCAAATCTGCTACATGAGGAGAAAGGGATTGACTTTGGAGTCATCTGTTGGAACTTTTGGAAGCAGAGAAATAAGGAAGTTTTGGATGGAAAAGTCTACAATGAGCAAAGTGTATGCTGTAGAATTGATGCTTGGCTCAACACCATCAAACAAGCAGAACAAAGGAATGAGAGGGTGTTCTGTGAACCAGGACAACAACATCAGATGGAAGCTATTCCTTGGAAGCCACCTGAAATGGAATGGATCAGTCAATCCACAATCAGGAAGAGCAGTAGCAGGGGGCTCCTAAGAGATCACCTTGGAAGATGCAGTGATGCTTTCATCTGCAATCTTGGAGCATGCTCCATCACCAGTGCTGAGTTGAAAGGCGTTATTGAGGGCTTGCGGATTGCTTGGGGGAGAGGACACATGAGAGTTCAACTTAACTTGGATTCTACTACTGCCAGGAATTACTTGGACGACGATCATCGCCATGGGATCATTGCTAGACAGTTCTATGTCCTTTTGAACCTCGATTGGGAGGTTAGAATCGATCATGTGTATAGGGAAGCAAACTTTGCTGCTGACTTTCTTAGCTAATAGATGTCATTTTGTTAATTTTGACACACATGGATTCAATGTGTGTGATCCGGGTTTGGGGCGATGGTTACTTCATGATGTAATAGGCATTGTCCATAATCGTTCTATTAGTATTAATATGAATTAGACGCAATGTCGTCAATCCTTTTACCAAAAAAAAGTTGTAGGGAAAAATCTCGATAATGTGGTAATATTCTCAATTTTGTCCCTCAATTCGTCGATTCGATACACGATGGGCCTTTTTGTAATTATTTATTTACGATGATCGGACTTGGGAACTTGACCCAGTCACAAGTTTGCTCTAAAAAGTGCCCGAAAACAACGCTACGGAGCCAAGTCCGTGGTATTCGTCCCGTTGTGTGTGTGGAGAAATGTTGCAGAAGGAAATGGATTCCTCCAGAAGCGGCGCCAGAGAAGATCTCCAGCACTATTATCATTATGTATGTTTCTGTTACTACTGCCAAAATCTCCATATGAAAAGCTAAGCTAGGCAGTCGTTCCTCTTTTTGTCTCCATATAATCGTTCCTTCTCGCTCTCCCGCGCGCGCTCCCTCCGCCGGCCGATCCGTTTCCCGCCTTGCCGTCTTCCCAAGCCAGAAGAAATGAGTCTCGGCAGCATATCGTCGAAGCCGCTGAGCTTCTGTCTCCATAACCGCTACGTTCTCGCGAAGAACCAGTCGCAGCAGCGATTTCTGGCTCTCGAACAACGCCGTTTGCGCTGCTCCAACCTGTCTTGGACAACTCCTCGCTTCTCCAGCTCGCTCAGCTACAATCCTCTCAGGTTGAAATTGCACCGCCGAACTTTGTTTCCGTTGATTGATTACTATGTGAGGTGAAAATTGAGTCTGAATTTCTGAGAGTCTCGTCGTGTTTTTTTGTGTGTGGCAGTTTCGGAATCAAGAGCAATGACGAAGCTATTTTGAGGAACAAGACGGTGGAAGGGAGGAAGAAGACGAGCACCGTTTGCTCTGCGGTGGCGGTCAGTACTGCTCGCAACCTCCAGTGGATCTCCACCATTGCTTCCATGTACGAATTCGATCGCCTCTCTCCTCTCTCGAGTCTATTCTCTGTTTGGTACTGTTTCGGTTTCTCGCCCTGTTTTGCTTGAGCGTCGTGGAAAATCCTAATTGGACGTTTTCCCCCACCCAGAGTGCTGATGCTTTCCAAGGGTACGGCTGTCAACAAATGCCTTCTCGTTCCCCTCCTTGCGTTACAGGCGCCTACTGCTGTGGTCTCTTGGGTTAAGTAAGTTGCGCAAGCTCGACGGTTCAGGTTTTGTGTTCATGCCAATTGATTATGTCCGTTGCTTTTTGTTTAGGATGAAAATTCACAGTTGTTGGTGGATTGCAGGGGTGAATATGGTGTGTGGGCTGCATTTATGGCGCTTCTCGTACGCCTCTTCTTCTTTATTCCCGGTATGTCTCAGCTCAGTTGTTAGATAACTTGGATTGTGCATAAGCTTAGGCAAGTTTGCCCAAGGTTAATCTTCTGCAGGTGGGAACATATCTCTAACTATAGAGTTACCTGTGTCCTATATGTTTTTGCAGGTGAATTAGAGTTGCCATTTATGGCTTTGCTCTTGGTCATATTAGCTCCTTACCAGGTTCTGAACCTAAGGTGAGTGGATGTTGAATGCAACAGACCAAAAGCAACTGTTTATCTTTCACTTCGTTCATCAGCTTATTTTGTATGATTTGTTTCGTCTTGAAAATGACAGAGGAACACAAGAAGGTGCTATTATTAGTTTGGCGATTGCAGCTTACCTGGCTTTCGAGCATTTTTCACGAGGAGGCAACATGCAGAAATCGTTTGAGCAAGGTTCAATTGTGGCCACTGTAGCTACCATCTGTATTGCAGTTGCCTCGTGCTTACTCATGCTCTGAACTCCATATAAATCACTAGTTCATATGATATTTGTTTGTCTCAGTTCCTAAATAAGGTTTATGGTCAAGGGAAGAGACGTTTCTCTACACTTGTTTGGCCTGTTACAGGGTGTGATCTCTGCAACATGCTTCTTGAATATGTAGGAATTGAATATATAATGAATGGGGAAGAAAATAGTAAGCTTTATATTTTCAATCAGGTCATGTGGATGTTCTTTCTTCAATACAATAAGCGCCCGCTTTCTTTGTATGTTATCTATTCCCTCCATCTCAGTTTGCTGTATTTATTATTTGATGGCTTGATGTTACAGTCATGACAAATTTATGTGTATGTTTATGTTAATTTAGTGAGTTAGTATGAAGTTGGTTAGCACCATGGTCCCCTGTGTAGGCAATCCATTATGTCCAAGTATCTTGAGCGCACTACAGAACGATTATGTTTTTGAATTTTTCAGCTGTCTTTCACATATCTACTATTGGTCTAGCTAATGACAAGCAATTCTAAACATCCGAGCTTGGATAAATTTTATTATTCTATCACTAGGAGCTCTTTGTCTATAAGTATAAGTAGCTACAATGTTCTATTGCTTTCCTCATAATCTCCCTTCTTTCCTGTCATTGACTAACAATCTTAGATTGGAGACATTATAAATAATTTCCAGGCGATGAATCCTGGTTTTCTTGTTTCTTCCTTGCTTTGCTTCCAAATTTGATGAACCATCACAGGCAAATAAAATGCCAACCGAAGGTGGGAGTATTCAGAGACTTCTTGAAGCTTTCACAGATGGTTTGTGAGGATGAAAGACCCAAGAATGCCAGTTACTGAAAAGTGGATCAATAGGTTTGATGGAAAGGAGGTTGCAGTGCTGGGAAGACCTGTTGGCTCTGCTACACCGAATGTTGTTGGTGGCCCACCGAATCCTCCTGGTGGCCCTCCGAACCCTGCTGGTGGCCCTCCAGTACCAGGCATCGTCATTGTTGGCGGACTCATAGTAGTTGGGGGCATAAATGTTGGCGGTGGATATGCTGGAGGACTCATGCTGCAGATACAAATGGTATTTATGAGTTCTTTCTTTGCATATTATCTAAGGTCTCTTTCACATGGATTGAATATTACCTGGGCTGGCCCTTGGATGATGAAAAGCGACAGCTCCCGTTACCTTCACATGTGCAAATAGGGAATCAAGCATGAGTCTCGAGCATATGTATTATTCGCCAAGAAAGTATGCAAGAAGTGCTAACAAGCTGGGTTTTGTTTATGAAAAGGATGAAATCAGAAACTTCATGATCATGAATATTCATAGCATAGAATATTGATTAGAGGTAGCAAATGGGTTTGGTTGGGGCTGAATGGATTCGTAGGTTGGTGTGTTACTGCCTTACTGGCATTCTCTTGAAAAATTTGATGTGGTTTGGAGGGAATATCGGTTATCTATTGGTTGAAGTTTTAGCAGTTTGGGTATCAAATTTTGAGGCGATAGGTGGATTAGTTCGTTGATAGCTAAAAAAAAAAAAAGAGTACCAAAGTAATTTTCCATTATCAGGACTGAATTGGCAAAGTAGATTTTACTTTGGGCCGGTTTGTAAACTCTTTGAAGTTTTATATATTGAAATTTTAGACTCAAAATACTTGGCTAGTAATTGTAGTTTTGATGTAACCTCATGCAAATATATGAAATTTTGGTGAAAATTTTAGGTACTAAACAGCACTTTCGCAGAAACCCATCCGCCCAACCCACTTACCCACCAATCCGATCGATTTGATGTTTGGGTCAGACAGATTTTAAGTGGGTGGCTTGGGTTGGGGTTGGTTGGTTTGGATTGACATTTGCCACACTTCTACTCTTGATTCACATTGTTGATTGGAATGAATTCTGAACTGAGATACTGTGAAAAGGAGAATTGTGTTCTTACTTGGGTCAGTGCTAGTGAGTTGTGCAGCTCCACCAAAAGCGCAGCTGGTAGGAGATGGATTCTTCTGGTAGTAGTCATTAAAGGCATAAGAAGCATGATCTCTGAGAGTGTTTGGGTTGTAACAACTCGCTCCCGACTGAATCGCCGAGCAATCTGCTCCTCCATAACCGCAAGCATAATCAAGTGCCACCTGCAATGCAGTTTCTGAAGCAGACGGGCTCGCTATACACCACTGCCCCCCCTCCTCCTCCTCCTCCTCCTCCTCCACCACCACCACCTCCTGGTCCTGTTGGAGCTGTGGGTTGCTGGTTTCCTGACATAGGAGGGGCTGGAGGCGTTGTGGTGGGGATCGTAGTTGGTGTTGGAGGTGAGTCTGTAGGATTGCCAAAGGGCGTTGTTGGCGGAGAGTCGGTGGGATTACCATATGGCGTCGTACCAGGACTTGTTGGGTTGACGATGGGAACGCCAACTCCGCCTCCTCCTGTTCCTGGACTTGTTGGGTTGACGATAGGAACATCCCCTCCAGTTGAGTCTAGATGGCTGGTGGACAGGGAAGAGGATGGGAACAGTTGGTGCTGGTATTCTTGATTCTCTAGTAGGTCGGTTTCCTCGATTGCTTCTAGGGGTGGCGGCTCTGCAACACTAGATCCTGAGAAAACCAAGAATCAAGATAAGTTCCAACTCTTCCTTTTCAATAAATGAAAGAAAAGAAATCTGACCTATGATTTCCTATAATCTGACATATGCAAATTTGATTATGGATGATGTCAGGAACCAGAAACATTTAAACCCAGTGGTGGATGAAAGTATCTCCCACCTGACATTAGGAGCAGATACAGCAGAGTGATGACAGAAGATTGAACAAGCCAAAACCCCATGTGGCAGACCTGCTGCTTTCTTTGAGGTGAGTTTCTGATATCCTTGTTAGTTAACAAGAAGAATGATGAAGAAGTTAGGAGAAGGGCCAATGGCGTTGAGGCGAAGAAGAGCTTAAATATCATGCTTGCATATGTTATGTACAATAAAACTGAGAAAAGAATCAGAGCTTCCTTGGATGGTAGATAATAGATGAAAAGGAGGAGAATTTGGAGGGAGGGGGAAGAGAATACCAGAAAACTTGAGAAATGAGGAAAGGTTCAGCAAGCAAGACAAAGGTGCAGCAAAAGGAAGGGAAAAGTATATGAGAGAAAATGTTCTGTTGTATGTTGCAGAGTTCAAATCTGAAGGCTTTAGGGGATGCTTAGTAGTTAATACTAGTATAAGATTAAACTAGATTAGAAAGATAAGCATATAGCCTAAGGCGAGGTGCATGTTTTCTTCCCTTTAGCACTTTGTGTCTAACTTGGCCTTTTTACTGTTCATGGGACTTAATCGAAAGTTAGAGTTGGGAGGGGTAGTTAGATTACCTATGTTGGATACGCCTCAGGATCTGTAGCTAAAAAGGTCGGAAAATCTACAAGGTAGGAAGGCAAAAGTGCAGATGGGTACCTGGCCAGAAAAAGAAATATGAGAGAATCCCAGAATATGTGGAGAAAAAGAAAATTGCAGCTTAGGATAGTGTTTTAAATGGCATATTAAGGAAAACAAGCTTAGCTTGCACTAGGAGTTTTGCTGCCTGCTCTGTATGTCGTATCCGTACGTGTTTATTATTCATTCACCTATTCAGTTATTCTAATTCACGCTACTGCTGTTACGTGACCTCTATGCCCCCACTTGTTTGGACCTTTTTCTTAGCTGGTGTGAGTTTTCTCCGTTCTCATTACATAGTGCAGCAATAAGAACCTATTTGATTTTGTATTTATCAGGTGACAACCTAATTAGTTTCACACTTACAGCTGGAAACTCCCAATAATACAGTTTTTGCAAGTAGGGTGAAGAAAAATAAGGTTCTTCATGAGGATGATCGGTTCTGGCCGGGTTCAGCTCTTGAAGGGTCTTTTACGTTACCGTTCAGGCTTTCTTTCGATCCGTGTTGGAGCCGGATGACCCCTGGATATGCTTGGTGCCACCCTGGATTCCATCTCCATGAACGTCGACGTTGTCAACATTTTGCGTTTGACTAGATTATGAAAAGCAGTGGAACCTGGGTGCGATCAAAGAAGGTTACGTGGTGGCATCGAGGTTGAAGCTGATTTGATGCATTTCGGCTGGCCTTTGAAGAGTAGGCTTGACTTCACTTTGCATTTCGGTTGGTCGGTTTTGTTCAAATGTCAATTCGATTCATTTTCTTCAGTTTATAAAATACATGAAACTAATGATCGATAATGTTATATTTAATTTGGTGTTATTCGGTCCAAACGTCGATTTGGTCTTATGCTTTACGGTATGAACCATTCCATTGCACACCACTAGTTAAGGCAGGGGGCAGGGCTATGTTTATTTTTCCCTTGTCAATGAATGGGTCGGGTTTGTGTTATTTAGTGGGTTGGGCGTGGGGCGCTTATTTTGATTAATTATTCGGTTGGGATTAATTCGTAAACCAAATAACATATCATATTCCTAACACGAGTCCACGACCAAATACAAGTCGTTTATTCAGTTTGCAACTAAGGCAAACAGTACGGTTTTTATGCGGTTAGCGGTTAACTGAAAAATTGCAACCGGATTTTCCACATCAAGATATCATATTGAATTGCAAATTAATGTGTCAATGAAAATGCAATTGCATTTCTAATTGCATGGATGTAAGCCTCAATTGCAATATTGCAAGTTTTCATTCTATGCAATTCAATATGCAATTGCCATGTAAGCATTTTTTCTTTTATTAAAAAATAATAAACATACAAACCTTTTATTTTATTAAAAAAACAAGTTAGACCTACATATGCAATTGCGAGTTAATTGTATTGATGTAGGTGAATGCAATAAATGTGATGTGGATTGCAAAAAAATTGAGTTGGCAATAAAAACACAAATGCAATTGCATTGATGTGGATGCTCTAAGAGCATCCAAATTGAAATTGCATATGAAATTTCAATATGATATGGAATTCATTGGCAATTGCATTGATGTAGATGACAATCGCATCTTTGCAAGCTTGTATATAATGCAATTATGGAATGCAAGTCACGTAATCTTTTATTATTATTAAAGTATTCGTTAAATTTGTTATTTAAGTGTTTATGTTAAAACTAAATTAAAAATGAAATGCAATTACAAGTTAATTGTATTGATGTAGTATAATGAAAGTAATATGACTTGGATTTTTGAGATGGTAACGAAAAACACAAATTCAATTCAATCTATCTATCTATCTATCTACCTATACAAATATTAAAGGACTTCAGAAAAAAGCCTCATGCCACATCAGCCTTGAAGTGCTCCCCGCATTTGTCGCTTCCATCCTATTTTTTAATATTTTCCGCCATTTAGTTGAATCCGACGGTTATTGTTTTAATTTACATTCTTGGGTGCAATTAGATTTTTTTTGAATCTGTCATTTAGTTGAATCAGACGATTAACTGTGCCATTGCCATAGTTATCCTTTGTCTCATTTCATTAAGGTTTTGTAGGTTTTTCATTTGTTATTTTGCTTAATTGTTTTTTGGCATGGTGTGTTCGATATTCTCTCGGAGTCCCGATTTTTTTAATGACCATACAATAATTCATAATTATATGATTATTATGGGTTTTTAGCATAGTAAAATACGTAAATTACATACAAAAATACATAAATATTTTTATTTTATTTCTAAAAAAATTCTATGGTTAATAGTATGTCAATAGTTACAAAATATATAAAAATAATTATTTTAAAAATAAATTAATATACAAATAATAGTTAAGTACTTTTTATGTATTCAAAACTTCTAAAATGGACCATAGATTTCAAATTGTACAAACAAGGTCAAAATCTTGATAATAATTTGATTTAGATGGATAAATGTTTGCATAAAAGCCTACATCTACACTTTATAAAGTGCCATTAAATTTTTTATTAAAAATTTTCACCAACCTCCATAAAAAATTATTTAATATTACTATGATTTAGTCAATATTCTATATTTCTCAACTAAAAATTGAGTATCGTAATTTAAAAGTCGAAGTATTATATATAAAAGACAACATGATTGAGCGAGTAGTTGATTCAAATGTTAGTTTATTGATCAAGTTTTCATAAACCAAAATTGTGTCACATTAGAAAGACAGCAAAATTATGAGGAAAGGATAATAAGAACATACAAGATTTCAATCATCTAAAATGATTTAAATACAAAAGCCAATCTTATTAGTATAGATAATTAAACAAACCTCACCCGGCCGATGGGCGGGTATAAAGCTAGTATGCAATACGTCAAATGATACCGTGGAAGAGTCAAAATGGCAATTGACTTTTCAGTTCTCTCGTTTTGCCCCAGCAATCGTACCGTTTCTCCCGGCGAGTAAAGTTATGTTTTCAGTCCTATTGCTTATTGTCTGGAAGATTGTAAAATGTCATGACCACAAACGATTGGTTCTGGTACGTAGAAGCCGTTCATACGGAGTAGCTTAGCGAGGAGGAATCATGATGTTTAAGAAGACGACTGATAACTTCAGAACGAACGATTTCGTCGCCGTTGTGTGTTAAGTGTTAACAAGTAGAAAGCGGTTGGTTCTGGTAGAAGAAGCTTCTGAGCAGGAGTGCGAGAGAGGAAGAGAAGAACAGTTGATGGCGAAACCGGGCACGAAATGCGATGTGGGAGAGAGTTCCGAGACAGGAACTCCGGCGAAAGAAGGTCCCAGCAGACGGTATAGGCAGCCAGCACGCTCGGTGGAGTCCAACTTGATTGTCGATGAAGATGAGGTTCCAGGTGAGTTTAGACAAGGGGAGACGAGCGGCATTAGGGCTAGGAAGGCCTCTGGAACAGCGGAATGCGCTGATGGAGATCGGAATCATGAGGAGAAGGAGAGTGATACGATGGCAATCGATCAAGGCGGCGAGAACGGGATCGAGACCGTGGAAGGAGCAATTGGGAGTGGCGGCGAGGGAGTGAAAGAGACGGTGGATGAGGGAAAAGAGGAAGTTGAAGAGAGTAGTTTGAAGGTTTATAGGAGAAGGGGGAGGAAGGGGTTGGAAGAAATTGAGGTTTCATTTAAGAAAAAACCGCGGGGGAGGAGTAATACGAAGGCTGGAAAGGCCTCTAAAACTGGGGAAGTTCGTGAAGTTCGTCCTCTATGGAAGAAAGTGTATGGAGATCAAGATTGTGCGAGGAATCGTGAGGTATGGGTTCGAATGATCTGGATTGGCTTTCCTTTGTTGCCTGCTATTAGCTGCTTTCTCGTTCAAGCTTGTTCTTCGAAACCTTGATGCTGTCCAGAGTGTGAATGACTCTGCCTTACCAGTTTACGCAGAACTACTGTCTGATGTGCCATCAATGCAAAAGGAATGATAAAGGTGGTGTTGTTCGCTGCAGCAAATGTAAAACCAAGAGATACTGCTTCCCTTGCTTATCAAATTGGTAAAAGTTTCTCAAAAGTTTATTTCTGCTTGTTGTTTTAAGTTACTCTTTGTGGTTAAGATTAGCTTCACGGTACTTTGAAGTCTTTGCGGTAGCTTTAGGATGTTTAAGGGAAACTTACATTTCTACTGTCCGATTACTTGGGCTGGAATTCTTCTCTAGACTTGCCTCCGCAATAGGGATTTGAATCCAGTATATTGGATGATAGTTTTGCTGGCTATGGTTTCTGGTGTCTGTCAAACTAGGTACCCTAAGTTGACGCATGAAGAGGTTGCAGCTGCCTGTCCGTTTTGCTGTAACAACTGCAATTGTAAAGCTTGCTTGCGTAGGGATCTCCAAGCAGAGGTCCAAGCTCTTCCGCTGTTCGGCATATCACTTGATTTTGTTTACTGAATTCCATATTTGAAGGCTCTGTGAGATATAATTTCCATTGTTACTGTGTCGCTATCTTGTGCAGGAACTGCGGTCACTGTTGAAACTGGAACTTACTGTAGATGAAAGCAGACGACATGCTGAATTCATCTTACAATCAATTTTGCCTTTCTTGAAGCAAATAGACGAGGAGCAGTTAATGGAGAGAAAGATTGATGCAGGAATCCTAGGTACTTTGTTTATATTAAGATTAGGTGCTCAAACCCTTTTTCTTCCCTCTCATTCGCCCATACTCCTGCCCTTCCCTGGAGGTAGGGCTTGCAGTGAATTGGTGAGTATGGGAAAGAGTTTTTTTTTTTTTTTTTGTCTCCTCTTTGGTTACTTTCTTCTACTGTGTTGTGAGAGTGATTCATCTCGTAAATTGTTCAGTTATTGTGCCTCTTAAAAACCATTTTAGGGGTGCCAATTGAAGATTTATATGCAGAAAAAGCTGAATGGTCTGCAAACGAGCGCATCATCTACTGGTACTACTCATTCTGGCTCTGAAATTCCTTACTGTTTCATGCTGGCTTCATAAAATATTCTCTGTTTTCTTTGGTTGAAGTGACATCTGCAAGACTACTATTTTCGACTACCATAGACATTGTTTGGAATGTGAATCTAATATTTGCCTTTCCTGCTGCCGTGAGATCCGTGATGATAATCTTCGTGGCAATGTGGCAAGTGTGGATATAAAATACATTGATAGAGGATTTGACTACTTACACGGTTGTGCATGCGATGTTAGTACGCGTAGAAATGCACGTCATGTTATAGTGCCTGGTGAGGTATGTTCGGAGGAACCTCTTGCTCCGAAACCAAAAACTTCCTGGAAAGCAAATAGTGATGGTACCATTGCTTGTGCCTGTGGTTCTGGCACTTTAAAACTCCAAACTCTGTTTTCTGGTAATTGGGTTTCCAAGCTGGTGGAGAGAGCAGACAGTGTTGTTAAAGGACTCGAGATTGATTTGGCTAGGCCTTCTTCCAGTGGTCAATGTGCCTGCTGTAATTCTAGCGGGGATCCTGAAGTGAAACACGATAGGTTAATGAAGGCTTCATCCCGTGAAGGATCAAGTGATAATTACTTGTTCTATCCAAATGCTAATGATTTGACAGAAGAAGGATTTGAGCATTTTCGCCAACATTGGATGAAGGCTGAACCCGTACTTGTTAGCAATGTGCTTGAAACTGGATCTGGCCTAAGCTGGGAGCCTATGGTCATGTGGCGTGCTTTCCGCCAAATAAAAAATGAAAATTATGACACATTCTTGGAGCTGAAGACGCTTGATTGTTTGGACTGGTGTGAGGTGCGCTCTTTGTGCTTGCTTGTAAATCTGATCATCTGTAACTTTACTGCATAGCTTTTTATATGTGTGCAATAGTCTGGTTTTGTTTTCTCTGTCATGATTAACCAAAACAGGTTTTATCTGAACACGCAGGTGGATATT